GCTTAATAAAAGTTGTTATTTTTGAAATCTGTTAGATGATTTCTTGTTTCAGCGTATGGCACTTACTTGTTTCCCCTCTGAGGAAAATGGAAAATGTATTTTATTCAGGCTATTCATTGATATGACTTGCAAATTTTCTGAAGTGCTGACTACTGACATTATAGTATTATAAAATATGCCACTCTATTTGTAAGTTTTGATTTTCTACTATCCTGGGGTTTAAATTGTTTTTATTTAATTAATTTATAAGAATAACATTGCATATAGTATTGATGTCCATTTTCATCCTTGTAAAGGCAAAATTTCTACAATAGGCAGCACATTTTTGTGGCATTAAGAACTATATACATATCTATATTTATATACATGTTCCATATGTATTAATATAACTATATATATACAGGGTGTCTCAAAAGTCACTATACATAGGGGAAATGGGAAATTGTAGCTAAATGTACTTTTGTTTACAAAATATTTATTACAAGATTTTATAAAATTTTGCCTTCGTCTGGAGACTTTTGGGACACCCTGCATATCTATAGCTATCTATCCAGGGTCAGCAAGAATTTCTATATGAAATTTAAGCAGTTATATGCTCTCTACTTATTCTCTGATGATTCAAGTATAGGAGGCACACATTCTCCCTTATTGGTAATATTTTCCAAGAATCACAAGAAGGATTATATCCTATAAAAACACCAGGGGATTCTTAAATTATGAATAATTCATATTCTAATACATAGAAGAACATTTAATTTGGCTCCAGATACTAATTATAACTTTTCCATAGGGTAGGAAAATAGAACAGAATCAAAACTACTGGAAGTAGAACATTTTAAATAAAATCATAAATAAATATCACCAAGTGAAGCACCTACTCATGCCCTAAATGAGACTGGTGATCAGGAGTTCAAGGCACTAGTATTAGATCTTTTTTGCTAAGAGGAAAAAGGGAAGTTAGTGTTATAGCCAGAATTAGTACTAATACCTTGAACTTCTGATTACCTGTTTATTATAACTGCTATGCATGTGTGTGTGCATGTGTGAATGTACATTTACATTACTGAATGAGGACATTCTTTTGATAGTTAAACCTTTGTCTAACTATGTTTTTTTCAAGTCCGAATATACAATAGGCTATATTGTATATACATAGGCATTGAGAAAAGAATGCATCTACTCATTTAAAAATAGTTGAGAATCAAGATCAATCATTAATATTCCTTCAAAATTAAAGCAAAGAACAGAACAGAAGCAGAGGGAAAAGTAATTAAGGTTAAAATACTTATTCATAGAGGAAATTTCCAAACCCCGGTAAGAAAAATTTCCAAATAAGGGAACAGTATGAGACTGCCCAAGCAGACATGCCTATTCAAAGGACCTTGTGAGATATATTTGGGGGAAGGGGGGGTGAGTTGTCCCTTCACCCCTGCTAAAATTAATGCAGATATGGAGAGAAATTGATTATACTTACTTTAAAAAAATAAGAAAAAGAAAACCTGCCTACCTAAATGTAGACGATGGATTAAAAAGGGAAAATAATGACTACATGTGGACCAGTCTGTAAGTCACTGTAAGTTTATGCCAGACATGATGATGGCTTGTACCAGATTGCCAGTGGAGTAATGAAGTGAACAGATTAAAAACATATTTAGTATGTGCAATAGTTCTTGCTGATATGTTGAATACGGAGTTTGAAATAGAGGAGTCAAGAAAACTCATTCGTTTGTATACCAAGCAAACTAGGTATAGCAGTTGCAGGGGAGAACTGAGGGTTGACTAAAGGAGATCATGAGCTTGATTTGATACACAGTAGTTCCCCCATATCTGTGGTTTCACTTTCTGCAGCTTCAGTTACCTGAGGTCAAATGAGGTCTGAAAATACTAAAGGGAAAATTTCAGTAATAAACAATCCATAAGTTTTAAATTTCAGGCTATTCTGAGTAGTGTCATGAAATCACATGCTATTCCACCCTCTCCCCCAAGGATGCAAATCATCCTTTTGTCCGGCTTATCCACACTGTACATGTTACCCGCTCGTTAGTCACTTAGTAGCTGCCTTGGTTATCAGATCAAAAAAATAGTATACATTGGGTTTGATAATATCTGTAGTTTCAGTCATCCACTGTGAGTCTTAGAAGGTATCCCCCGCAGATAAGGCGGGAACTACTGTTTTTTTAAGTTTAAAGTATCTTTGAGTATAAGAGGATATATCAAAAGGAGGTGAGGTGAGTATGTAAAACTCATTATTATAAGATCATTTTTTTGTTGTTATTTTGACTTTTCAAAAGGGATGTAGAGTGATTAAAAAACAACATTTGGTCTATAACTAAACAAAATGTAAGTTAGTGATAAACAAAAACACAACTATATCACTCGAGGGACAGAAATTGTAGAGATTTATTACATTTAACATATTGGAAATACGATATAAGAAAAAACTTATTTTCAGAATTACCTGTCACTGATTTGAATTGTTACAGAGTCAAGATCCATCAAAAGTTTTTTATTTTCTTCTGTCAGTTGAGTATGTGCTATTGAAATAACTTCATAATCTTTTGTGACATTAGAAAGCTCAATATCCCATGATTTTTTCTTTAAGAAAAGAATAAAAGAATAATTTATACATGTTTAATTAGCAAAAGGAAAATATCGAATAATAAAAATTACTTTCAGTTGCGTGAGTTAATATTGGGAAGAGAATGGAGCTCTATTGGGAAGTAGGGAAAGGTATACTTACTGCAGCATAAAAATTATTAAGTGCTTCCATATATTGCTTTTCAAAATTTTTCTTTTTCCAGGTTAGTTGATCATAAGTTTTTCTCAAATCATCTAGCTAAGATAAAAAAAAAATTAACAGAAAATAAGCGAATTGTGGAGCTTTTCATCCTTTTATAAATGAAAAAACGTATTATATTTCCCTTTGCGGAGCTACCGTAACTTAATAAATATTGATTAAAATAGTATAAAATAACACGCTACAGGCTGTTTACATTATGAAAATTGGTGCAAGATTCTGAATAAAATATAGTGAATCAAGTCTAAATTTAGTCTGGTGTTTAAATAAATAATTAATCATGATAAAATAGAATCTGTTTCAGTTATGTAAAATTGAAAGACGTTAGAGAATTTTGAGTCATAATTCATCACATCAATAAATTAAAAGAAAAAATAATATAAATATGGCAATACTTCGCAAAATAGCCATTTAATAAATTCACTAGTTTCCATAGTTTTTTAAGTTAGTACAAAGAAAAACTACTCACGTATAATATAAAGAACCAACATTAAATATGAAAATAAATTATGAAATGCTCAACTCTTGCTCATGGAACTCAGGAATAAGACCATATTTTTATCACCATTATTATTAATCATGTTTTGTGAAAGACTAGCTAATCACAATTAGATAATTAAACCAAATATTGCCATTATAATATTGAAGATGAATAAATAATATATCCTCAACTTCAGATGATATGATTAAATATCTAGAAAAACAAAAGATTCTATTTAAAACTACAATAAATGATTTTGGTAAAGTGGCTGTATATAAGGATAAGGAAATTAATAGCTTTTATCTATAAGAGGAATAGTCAGTTTTAAAAAATATATAGTTTAAATTTTTTGTCAAAAATGTAGAATATTTGGGAATAAATCTGACAAAAAATCAAAGATGAACTCTAAAGTAAACATAAACTCTTATTAGAAAGCCTAAATCAAGATTCACATGAAAAGAATGATATGCGATGGAAAGGTTTAACAGAATATAATGTCAGTTCTCTTAAAATTATTTCAAAACATAATAAAATGGAGTATTCACTGCTGAATTGCATAAAATGAAATTCATATAGAAGTAAAAGGTATGGGAGACTAGTCAAGAAGTATCTAAAAAATAAAATTACTGTTGGAAATTTGCTACCGGATATTAAAATATCCTATAATATCACTATATTAAAGCAATATGTATTTTTGTCATTGTAATAAAGAGCAGAGGGAAAAACTAGAGGCCAGAAATACATGTGAATTAGTATTTTAAAAAGTGGTATTGGAATTCAGTGAGAGAGAAATTGTTTAATTAATAGAACTGGAATAATATAGAATCTGTTTAAAAAGATACAAAGTGGTCTCTCTACCTCACATCTAACTCACATCACAACAAAAACAAAATTTCACATGGATAAAAATCTAAGTGCAACACAAAACATTACAAATTATTAGGGTAATCAATATGAGTTTATTTGTGTAATGTTGGGCTAAAGGATAGTGTCACCTTGCTAAGCAAACCAAGAGATCTGTTGATGTGTTTGACAGCATATTTTATTAAATATAGAAGTCGTGTGACAAAAGACACCCTAAACAAAGTTGAAGGAAAAATAAGACCATGAAAAATGTGAAATAAAAGGCCAACATTTTGAGATTACTTCCTTGCAAAGGACATCAGTAAAAATGGCAGAGTAAGAACCCCTGGAAAACTCTCTCCTCCATAAATACAATTACAAAACTGGCAAAAATCATCAAATCAGCCTTCTCAAAACTCCAGAAATTAACCAAAGGCTTGCAGCAATTCAGGGAGCACTGTTTCAATGAAAACAGCCTAATCCCAGTAAGAAGAATGAGCTTGGTGGTGTTTTAACTCCTAGTCTTCTCTCCACCTCTATGGAAGCCTCTAAGGAAAAAAACCCACAATTTGTGCTGAAAACCAGTAATCTGACAGCCACCAGAGGGAGCAGAAGCAGGCCATTCAAAGCCTCATTCTCAAAAACTGTCATTATTTGACCTGTCTGGTGGATTTTTTGAAGACCTCACTTGCAAAAAAATGTCTGTATTTGATTTGATGCAAAGCTCAACCAGTACAAAAAGTCTTTCCCCAGAAAAGTCTTTTCCCAGGGGGGCATGATTGTTCAAACAAAAATTACAGACAATTGATTAACTTTTGTTCAAAAAAATTACAGGTAATTGATTAACTTTGTAGCTAAAAATTGTGACAAACAATAGACTAATCAACAAAGTTAAGAAGAAAGGCTGGGAATGATGTTCATAGTGGCTTTGCAAAGCTCCAACGTATTCCAGGGAGGCTACAAATACCCTGGGATGTGTGAAAACCCTGCAGCTATTCACATGCCCTCATAATACCTGAGAAGCTCCTTAAGCTCTCACCTATGGCTGACCTTGAGGCTCTATGAAAGCAGGAAGTTAAAAGTAGGGCAGAATTGACAACTGCCTGAGTGAGTATTAAAGGCGAGCCTAAACAAGCCAGCACATAGAGCACAGTTTGCAGTTCCTTAAAATGTTAAACATAGAATTATCATATGACCTAGAAATTCCACACCTAGATATATAACCAAAAGAAATGAATACACATACACAACAAAACTTGTACATGAATGTTACTAGCAGCATTATTCATAATAGCCAAAAGCTCCATCTACTGAAGAATGGATTTAAAAAATGTGACATATTCGTACAATGGAAGTTATTCAGCTGAAAAAAGGAAGGAAGTACTGATAGACTCCACGACATGAACCTTGAAAACATTATCTAATTGACATAAAAGACCACATAATGTATGATTACATTTATATGAAATGTCCAGAAGAGGCAAATCCATAAAGATAGAAAGCAAATTAGTTGGTTGCCAGGGACTAGAGGGAAGAGAAATTGGTAGTGACTGCTAAAGGCTACAGAGTTTATTTGTGGAATAATTAAAATATTCTAAAATTAGATAGTGGTTAAGGTTGCATAACCTTGTGAATATACTAAAATACATTGAATTATACAATTAAAAGCAAAAAGCCAACATGCTTAAGATGCAACGAGATGCTACAGTGTAATGACAAAAGAGAATAATTCATTGAGACTTTGTTTTTCAAACCATTTCAGAGCATTTTTTATTATTTTAGTCATAATTGCATATTATACCATTTGTATTATTATATATTCAATAGTTTTTATGTCAACTCGCTTGTTTACATAATTATGTTAAAAAGAAAACTATTATTTTTGCAAATTAAAGTCCAGTATCATACGCCATAAAGAGATAGTAACTATAAAGATAAATAAAATAAAAACAATTTTATGAAATTAACAAAATAAAAATAAAATGCAAGTAGTAATAAACACATTCAATTTATGAAAAGAAACGCAAAATATATTTCTCTTGGAAGAATTTAATAGCTTATGATCAGTAATTAAAGGAACATTTGAAACAATATTTTAACTTTAAGAGATTAAATGAATTATAAAACAATTTACCTGTATATATGTTAAAATAATTTTCCTAGATAATTGAACATTAGCCTTAATTTCTAACCAAAATGAAAATAATTTTTAAATCAATTTTTGTTTAAAAAGCCTCGGAAATATTTTTCAGAATTTGTTCAGAAATTGTCAAATTACTTTGCATAACAGCAAAGGGATATGCAAGCTTTGTTACCCACTCATCACTACTATTTTTTGTTGTTGTTGTTGAGACGGAGTCTCGCTCTGTTGCCCAGGCTAGAGTGCCATGGCATCAGCCTAGCTCACAGCAACCTCAAACTCCTGGGCTTAAGTGATTCTCCTACCTCAGCCTCCCAAGTAGCTGGAATTACAGGCGCACACCACCACGAGCAGCTAATTTTTTCTATTTTTAGTAGAGACAGGTCTCACTCTTGCTCAGGCTGGTTTCGAATCCTGACCTCAAGTGATCCTCCTGCCTTAGCCTCCCAGAGTGCTAAGATTACAAGCATGAGCCACTGGGCCCGGTCATCAATACTAGTGAAATGAGAAAACTATTAATTGAGCTTTTCACTAGTGAACATATTTTGACTGTATTCCTCAAATAAAGGTCTAATCAAGTCCTTGGGACAATAAGATACATCCAATTTGACATAAAGAGTTTATTCTGTGGCTTCAATTTGACAAAATTGTTGAAATCTCTAAATCCCCTTCTGCCTAAAACGGAGAACTGTCATAGGTAGAATTTGGGCCCCCATGATATGTGTCCTGATGTCATGCTTGTAAATATGTCAGGTTACAGGGGCAGAGGGATTTTGTAGATGTAATTGTGTTTATAATCAGTACCACTAGATTGGGAGCTTATCCTGGATTGTAATGGTAATTACATGAGTCCTTAAAAGCAGAACTTGTTCTTCACTGAGAGCAGAAAAAATCAGAGAAATGTGGGAGAAAGAAGGTGGAGTCTGAGAGAGCCACAGCTGAAAAGCACGCAGCCAGCCATTGCTGACTTGAAGGTGGGGGGCCTCGGAAACTGAAAAGATAATACATTCTCTTGCAATCTTAATGAGATTACAACCTTAATGAGATTAGAAATGATTTATCCCCTGAAGCCTCTAAGGAAGAGCTCAGGCCAGCTGAAACCCTCATTTCGGCTTGCGAGACCCTAAGCAAAGTGCTAACCTAGCTACCAGCATTCTGACCCTACAGAACCATGAGATAATAAGTAGGCATTATTTTAAGACAATAAAATTATGCTATCCCATTTGTTCAATTCTCCTTTTGTGTCAATTAGGAGTGTTTTAAAAGGTTTCCTTATATAGGATTTGCATAATTTTGAAAAGTTTATTTCTAATTAATTGTTTTTTGCACTTGCACTTGGAGTTTCTCTTTCATTATTTCTTCTAATTGGATATGTTTGGTTTATGAAGTCAATAATGTTAATTAGTATTGTGCTAATTTTTGAAATTATTTATGTTAGTTTTATCATTGCTTATATTGGATTTTCCAGGGATGCTATTATTTTACCTGCAAATAGAGATATTAAAAATATTTTTCTTTCATTAATTCTTCTGCCTTTAATTATTATCTTTTATCCAATTACATTAGTTAATTTCT